TAGAGTAGCCCTATGGATCCTATGATAAACACGCCATAAATGAAAAAATGTTCTTGCCTACCTCCAAGTACAAATCTCGTTAATCCTTCGGCTGTTTGTTGAATGCTTCACCCGGTGATCGACCCGGAGCTCTTAATTTCACTATTAAATAAAACAGATACTTCTTTATTTCTTTTTTTATTTTTTTTTTTAAAACAGCAGCGGATAAAAGCACCTGTGAGTTGAACCCGGTGCTGCTGTGCTGATGCTGCTGTGAGGAGACTCTGTGAGTCTGAGGAAGCCGAGACACTCCAGGACGCGCGCACTACCGTTAAGTGCGCGTTCACGAGGTCGTACATCAGGTACATTTACAGCCTCCAGAAAGCATCCAGAAAAACAACTCTCATATTTGAGATTAAAATACTTTTGTTTTTTTTAACTGAGTACACATGAACACATCCCCACAACCAATATACAAAACACATAATGTGAGACAAGACCACAGAGGGGTGGGCCAGGGTGGGGAATCATGTTCAGACAACATGACCCTGTATAAAGGCTTTATATACGTTTCAGCCAGCTGATGGTTTGGTTCATACATCAGTTATCATTTACATTAATGGTTGGAAACAACTTTATTGTTCCTGGTTGTGGAAAACCTTCCTCCACTATGGGACTATGGGATCAATAAATATATATTTAAATAAATAAATCGACAAATTTAATAACATTATTAAGAATTCTCAACTGCACAGTTTGTTTTTTTTTGTTGGAAAAAAACAAACACTTGAGGACTTGAATGCATTGTTATCAAATAGAAACCAAAGAAAATGATTTTTTTTTTAACCTGGCAACAAAAACGTTGTTCTTATTAGTGGCTTATAAGATATATGATATATATATATATGAAGAATTAAAGTAAAGTAAATGCTAATCAATAAGCTATTAGTTGCAACTTATATACCCTTTATAAGGTAGGTGTAATTAGAAAATGGTTTAGAAAATAGCATTTTATTTAAGGTTTATTTAATAAGTCCTTAAATATGTACCAAAATAAAATAAAAAAGATTAAAAAGGTAAAGTGGTCTGACTTCTTACCCTGCTACAGTGATGTAGAGGTGTACGCCAGGGTGTGTCAGTACATTGTGACATCACTGTTTTTCAGTCTGGTATTTTAAGTTACTCTTTAACAATGAACTAATCCTATAGAGACAATGTTAATAGTATGGTACATTTGTCTGTTTACTAATAACTAAAATAAGCCGTACTAAATTATTACAAAGGCTGCTCGTGGACCTGTTCATCTTGTTATCTGTCGTATCAAGTGACCTTCGCTGAGGTTCTTAAAGTAAATGCATTTCAGTGTAGTCAGATAATCAGATAACATATCAGGAAAATAAGATTAGGGTCCCACCTAAATGAAAATATTGCACACATACTGTAAAGATTGCTCACCTGTAACTCCCCCACAGATTAAAATAACCAAAAACCGTAAGAGACAGAAAACATGCATAATAAGGAAAGAAATGAGGACTGTTCTGTACAAGGTGGAATATGATAGGTCTGCCTGTGTGAGAACAGAACACAACAAAAGTTTAAAGGGAGAGACACGAAATTAAAGCCTGATAAACAAGTTAATATATGACAATAAGATATGTTCAGAAATGTCCCTCTGAGTTTTTCCCTCTGCAGTCTGCCTTTCACCTGTCTCTGAGCATTGTCAGCTGTGTGGCTGCGAGATAAGGGTTGATCGATTTGTTTTGCAGCACAGACAGACAGTCAACCTTTCGCTGTTCAAATTTAATTACACAGAACAAGGGAAAAAAGATGGGAGGATATGGGACAGAGCTAATGTGAAATGGAAGAAGAGACACTGCCAGGATGTAGAGATAGAGATGAGGGAATGATTGATGAAGGAGGGGAGAGATACTGTGGGAAGTCTGGTGGGGAAAGAGGTTTGTTTGTCATCTGGTTCTGAAAAGTTAAGAGGCGTACAGTATTCATAACCTTTTCTAGACTCTACCTGTAACATCTGCTGACATCTACTGGAATGTCTGTGAACTTTTTAAACTAAATGTAACACAGACACATATATTTTGGCAGCCACTTCAAATAATGCTCTTCGGTAATGTCCTCCGGCCCTTTCTGTATTGACTGGGATCCATTTGTTTATTTTGTCGTAGCCCAGCCGACCACGGACTGAACATCTTCTCTTCACCATCAAGCTTTTCTGTAGCAACTCTGATTCTGTCACTCTCCGCCTCGAGCCAACACACGAGGTCACTCACCATCCATTAATTGAACAGCATCCTGCTGGTTGCCATGGTAATTCATCTTAGTCCAACAAGCAGTAACTATGAACCCTGTTAACATGAGATCATCTATCTATCTATCAGTCTGTCTCTCTAGGATTGATAGATGTAATTAGGTCATCATTTCAACAGCCTTATCTTTGGCACAATGGCCGCACTTTTACTACCTGTGCTATCAAGTAATTATGTGATTAGATTAATGTTATTATTATTAATTATGTGTTGTTACTGTAAAGAGTTCATCATCGTGTCAGTATCACACAAAGTATTATCAAAGCTCAGTTTGCAATAGTACCACTGAAAATACAGGTCCGATCTTTTCCTGGAGACAGCTATGAAATCCAGCACTATATATATATAGGACAGGGAAAATAAGGATTTCCTTGGAAGAAAAAGTTCCTTCTAAGTCTCCAGGAAATCCAACAGTATATTTATTCATTGTTCAATCATCATTATAAACTCTATGTTGACATGCACTGTATTGTTTGTGTCTGTAGATGCATTTCTCCATGTTCAGCTGACCTGTTGCTCACTGAGTTAACTCCAGGTTATATTAGTGCTTAAGGGAAATTAATACTTTACATTTTGTACCAGGTTACACCCCCCTCTCTAGAAGACTTTGTGGAAGGGATTGATCAGAAATTACAGGCCCAGTAAAAGTTTTTAAAATAATGTTTCTTTGAGTGTGTTATATTATGTTTACTTAACACCACAAAGCTTTTAGTGCCAATTATCCCATTTGAACCTTAATTAAGAGAAATTAATTTCTTAAATGATCCCATTGGCCCTCTGTAACTTTTTCCATTCTGAATCCACATTGCACTTCAGGGAATTGGTTCATATGAAGGAATGAACTGCTCCCTTCCTAACATGTTTACAGTGGAGATAAGGGACAAAATCAGCAGCCTAAGTTAGCCACATCAAGCAGATATCTCACACTTTGTGTTACTGTCTCTCAACTGCAGCTCTGGCTGGTAAACACAGATCATTTCTGAAAAGACTTTAACTTCATACCCATAAGCTTTCTGGCACTGTGAGATTCAGGCCAATGAAGCAGCGAGCAGCAGGGACTCTTCCCATCATGAGGCTCTTCTGTGCTCCAGTAAGCGGCACCAACATCTATTAAATGTTTGTCCATGACTCGAGTTTTGTTGATCAAAAGAAAAAAACACCATGTGCCCTGACCCAAACCCACACAGCAGCCACATGATAATAAAGAAACTGCTTCATTTTTAGAAACAGTAAAAGGAAGTTGTGGGTACTTCTTTGAACACAAAGACACTTTCTCCAACTCCATTTTTTGTGATACTCGCTGTGACAAGAAAAGGAGAGAGCTAACTAGCCCTTGAGTTAATATAACAAAAGACACAAGGGCAGTCATCACAACAATAGAATTTATTGCATTAAAGCAGATTAAAAGTAATGAGACTACAGCTTATTAACAGACTTTAGTCACGTCTGGATGCACTCATGTGCATTTTTAAATCAGCAAAACAAAAAGAGTGCATAGGCTGGTGTGTTTTAATCTGATAGCATGACTTTGTGAACGTGTGAGTGTGCCTTTAAAGAAACCTTTTAACACAAAGTGAAGGCATATAAAAAAAAGTGTCTTTACAATACTACAGATTGGTACAAAGGATGCGGTGTGGAGGAGAGTAGAGAGGCGGAAGAGATGAGTGACAACAAGAGTCACATGATGAACCTACCCTCCGTCTGATGTATGTGGTAGTGTGTGGTGGTCTGTGTGTGGGTGAGCATGCTTATTAGAGTGTGTGTCTGAAGGGGGCAGAGGGTGAGACTGAGCGCCGCTGAGGGTGTCAGATAAAGATGGAGAGTCCAGGACGTTGTCTGCTGGATACAGCTGCATCACCGCCCCCTCCTGGGCACCTTCCTTACTGCAGGACTGGCAGCTACAGTGGAAGATCCTCTCCACCAGCTTATCCACACGAGGAGACTCTTCACTGCCCGGGCACTCCAGAGTCACCTGTTCTCACACACACACACACACACACACACCCCAAACTTACCCTCCGTGACCTTGTGCACACCTGAAACTTTAACCTGACAGGAAGTGGACTTTATCGGGCTCTCTATTTGGCCTTAGTCTTAAATCTTCCACTTTGTTATATATGGAATGACAATAAAGTTTCTATTCTTTGGTTTGATCTACTACAGTTTTTTCTTTCTTTTTATAGGTATATTTATTTTTTAATATTCTTATTCTCACGTACGTTTCATATTGCTTTTTTGTCCTTAACTATTGATTGTTGCTGTTTATTGTCATCATTATATTCCTGTGTTTAAAACCTGTCTGCAAATGAAATTTCCTTCACGATTAGTTGAAGTTAGTGCTAAATCGTAGTTATACTTTCTTTCCTTCCCAACAAAACAGTGCACATACTGCTATATTTGGATGTGTGTGTGTGTGTGTGTGTGTGTGGTCCCAGATACTGTCAAACTTTCCCTCCTTTGTGTTGTTTTGTCGCTTTGTTAAAATCACAAACGTGTATTTTCATGCTAAGAAACCGATTTCACCATCATTGTAATATCACTGGATTAAGGAATATTGAGAAAAACATTAATACAAAATAAACTGAAAATATACAAGCTCCCTGTAAACCTCAGTGTTGCACAAGCTCTTCTAGCTCTCCAGATCTCACACAACTTCCCCTCACTGTTATCATTACCCACTGAAAATGATCATTCAGCTATTTCATACAGATCAACCACAAGTGCCAAACCAGCATAGAGCAGTATCTACTTTCATGAGACTGACTTAGTTTTGTTTTAAACTGAATTCTGTTTAAAGTCCTGCAACAACAATCACAACCACAGATATAAACATCCATTTCCAGATCATTAGAAGTAAGGTGAGACCGTAAATGCACTTTCTCTGCCCTTTCTCATGCAACAAAAATAGTAAGAAAATTAATGAATCTATCTGGTAACAGCCGTGCACTCCAAGAGATACAATATTTTCCACTGAAACATGAGGCCACCTCACCTGTGGTCCCACCCGCCTAGCTGACCTGGCAGCTTTCCAAACTACATACACCTCACTACAAAGCCTTTGTTGTCGCAAGACTGGATTCCTTCTGGCTAAGAGGGACAATGAACTTCAGAGGAATATCAAATACAGGCTTAAGGTTCATAGGAAACCGCAGAAACTGTGACAGAAATCTATTCAAAATCCTCCATTTATGTTTTTTTTCCCCCTGCTCTGTGTTCGCCAGTGAACAGTGACTGCCATCTTTCATGCTGGAAACTTGTGGTTTGTGTGTGAGTTTGACAAGCCAGTATTGGTGTGTGCTTGCTACATGAGCTAATGTGCAATAACTCTTACCACTTCCCACTGTGTCTGGGCAGGCATGCAGGAGTCACAGTGCACCAGAGACTCTGTTGACTGTGGGAACGTGTTGGGGACGCTGTAACTGAAACACTGGCCCAGACAAGCTCTGTAAGGAGGACAGAGTGCATTATTATCATTGTGCTTACAGACACGACGTTCATGCCTGTGAAAGAAAGAGCTGTGGATGCCTAATAGCCAGAGAAGACACAATCATAAAATAGAGACTTGTTATTTATAAAACTTCTGATTAGAAATGAAAATCATGATTAAGATGATGAGAATGTGTCCTTCACCAAATACTAGTGTGTATATAACACAGGACCACAGTGCTATATTTGCATGTTTTTACCACTGACTGCAGATCAGGAACACTTGACTAATGGATAAGTCTGGTGCTATTCTATTTTTTTTTTTACTGTCAACAAATACCACGAAGTGATCCTTCTGAAAACAAATATTTCTTGTGTCAACCAAAACCTGAAATAGCTTATTCCTCCAGTATGCAAAAACTATTAAAAACACATCACTGAGCCACTTTGTTGAGTGACATGTTCCTTCATTAACATGAACATCGGCTCTGTAGTTTATTTTTAGTCCCACATGCACCATCTTGCTGCTGTAAATACTCACTAGAGAAACAATTCAGCAGCAGAACAATCTGCAATTTTCCACTATTTATTGTTTCTTGAGCTGTTTTAGTTTTCTATTTGGCCTTTGTTTTGGATTAAAGTATATATTGGCCACCTGTTGTTTCAGTAGAATGAAGGCCACAGACAGGTTAGGAAAGTCAGAAAGAACTGAAAGACAGAGTTTTGGTCATTGTTGACAATAAAAAACATGAATTTTATCCGTGTTTTTTATAATATCAGCACCTGCAGTTTTCCAACCATGCAAGGCGCCACATTAGTTACATTGTTTAGTCTTTGCAAGTGGATTTTCATACTTAAAGGTCCAGTGTGTAACATTTAGGAGGATCTATTGTCATAAAGGTAATAGTGTATTATCACCTATTATCATAATAAGAATCATGTTTTCGTTACCATATAATGAACATTTCTATCTACAGACGCCGCTGGTCGTCTTCCATTGAGTCTGCCATGTTGAACCGCCATGTTTCTACGGTAACCCAGAAGGGACAACCCAAACACTGGCTCTAGATAGGGGTGTGTGTGTTTTTTTTACGTGCAGTTGGAGACCATCATACTTTGCGCTTGAAACGGGAGGGGGAAGAGACAGAGTTGCGATCTGCAACTACACCACTAGATGCCACTACATCCTTCACACTGGACCTTTAACTGGAGTTTTTAATAAAATGAAACACAAAACACAAAAATCTGAAATACTATTGTATGTTTAAAATCATGGTTGGTAATAACACAAAAAATTTAGTGAACTGGCCATAAAATGCAAAATCACTAGTGTGTGGTAAGTTGAAGTTCCCAAAACTTTGTGAGTGCCGACCCCCCTCTGTTCCCGACTGAATGAGACACAACTCTGAGGATGCAACTTATTGATATCCAGACATTTCCGGACTATTCACATTTTTCAGCTGCACTGACAGATTGTCAGAGAGAGAGACAGAGAGGGCCTTCATCCTGACCTGTTTTGAATAGAGCGAGGCTGACATCCCGTGTGCCCGACTATCTGTGTGATGTTCTTGGCTTCGCACCAGGCGCTCTTGTCAGGGAACAGCGCCAGGCGGTTGATGTGTGCAGGCGGTGCTGCTGAATACAGTGCAAACAGTGCGCAGCAAATCTGAATCCTCTGCCACATGACTGCACCTAAAGGGGCAGAAAAAACCACAGCATGTTACCGCTCTGTTAACCTTGTTCCAGACAAAAAACACACACTCAAAAGGGAATCTCTTCATGTTTTCTGGTTCGACTGGTCAGGTATTGTCTGGTTTCAGTCAATACAAAATTTGAATTTTGCATTTCCCTGCAGATGTGGACTGACAACTTCCTGGTGAAACATGTCCCTGTGCTTTATGTTTTATCATGTTTGGCTTATTTGAATAATTAAAAGAGATAATTTCCTAACTATCTGAATCAGCAGCTGCCTGGAGAACACCATGGATTCATATTGTCCCAAAAATGAGACAATATGACCAATGGGGGAGGGAGACAAATGTCTGCTCCATACCACCTGACTCTAAAGTCTGTCCTCTGCTCTGGTTCACTCTCTTCTTTAAAAATGCCTCAACCAGTCACGTCATTTACAACCTACAAAATCGCTTTCTCCTGCTGCTTATAAAACAGTGTCCAGTGGTCACCCACGTAGACTCCTTTACACACTCTCCAGCTCTCCCATATGGCTCTGACACAAGCAGCCCCATCTACCAGGCTCAGCAGGGCTCTCTCTCTATTGTATGCAGATATAACAGATAAAGACTGGAGTGTGCTGTTGTGAGAGGGGGGATGTTGTTTAATAAGACTTCAAGAGTCCAGGATACTTTCTTTAAACCCTTGCAGGTCTGAGCACCCTAAGGATAGTTAAAGTAACGCGTTACAGTAACAAATTAGTTACAGTTTCTAAATGGGTTCACGTTACAGTGTGTCACGACGAATAAAAACTTGTTATTTGTCCATTTGGCAGTTTAAATACTTTTAAACTATTAAATCTGACTATTTGAATAGTTAACTCAATCGTGCGTAACAGGATCAGTGTCCAGTAACGTAACGCACGTTAACGTCAGTTTTCTCGAGGTTAAAGAAATCTTCTTTTTATGGCTTTCGTTTTATTTACCACAATATCCACCTCAATTTCTTCCCGGGTTTTCTTTTTCATGGGGTTTTCTCCAGTTACTTCGGAAGGTAGTTGAGGTCGCAAATAACCTTTAACTTTAGTTTATAAAGTACAAAAAGTACCAAAAGCTGTTAAATCCGCTCTCTGAGGGAGACTAACTACAGTTACTGAAGTACTGGTAACGTTACTTTTCAAACTAGTAACGAGTAGTGAAGTACTTTAAGGGTAACGAGCCTCTCAACAGCGGTCGTTATTGACACTTACCACCCCTCACCGACCCCGGGTAACAGCCAGTTGAGCACTGCGCAACGTCCCGCTGAGCCCCCTCTCCAAAACCTGGACACGGGCTCCCAAAACCGGAGGATGCGGCTCGCCGTCGGATATCACCGTACGCTGATAATTAAAGGAAAATATGAGCACTTAGAGAGCGGCGAGGATAAATCCGAGCCCAGTCTGTCATACAACAGTTACATCATCCGGAAAGAAAAAGAACCGTCCGTCCGACGGGGAAGGATGGGGAGATGGGGTAACTTATGTGCGCTATCTCATCTCCGAGTCCATCAGCTCAGACCGTCCCTCCCCTTTGTTCTGTTCCCGTCCAGTGTTAAATTCCCTTGTAACTCCACTGCAAGAAAGAAAGAAAGGAAAAAAAAAAACACACTTTCCAAGTTGTTGCCTTTTGTTGTAAAACTCTGAAGCAGGGGTTAGGCGCGGTTGAGCCCTCCGACAGGGGTCCTGCTGTGCCGTTTCTGGACGAAAGAAAACGGGGAGGGAGGGAAACTTGTTGGGAAAGGTTTCAAATGTTTCCTACAGGAGCGAGCCGAGGCTGCAGATCAGATTTATAGGATAAAAATGCCAATATAATAAGATTAATAAACAATTGTGCATATTTACAGCCATCCACTAACGTTGCAGACACATCTGGCTTTGCTTTACCGACATGTGTTTTTAGATTTTAAAATTTAAACACTACTAACGGTATGAAATTGCAATACAACTGGAAAACAGATGTGAGTCAGTGCCCTGGTCCACTTTATTTAACACTTTTCCCTCAACATTAAAAGCACCTTTAAGTTGAAATGATACAAGTTGCTTAACTATAAACGCATGACAACTTGATCTAATTAAGACCCCTCAGTATGAAACCAACTGACTGACTCATGACTTGCTGAAAGGCATGAGGTTCCCTGGTGTTGGTGACCTGTGAGTGGGCTCCTTTAAAATCCAGTGGGAAAATGGGCCCGACCATTTGGGTTGTGGAATATGATGCTCAAGTCAGCCTCTGGTAAATGTCTTTTCTGCCTCAAAACTACTGACATTAGCATTCAGTGGAGAAAGAGGTATTCAGATTGTAGAGGGGAAAAAACTCAACAAATTTGAAGCAATAGTAAACATTATATAGATTTAATTGTAGTGTTACACTTACGCAAATTCAAGATAGTTGTGCAGTATTTTACTTTATACCTTAACTACATTTTACCAGGGAATTATTTATTTGACATGAATTTAATTAATTTACATACAAAAACTTATATGATCAGGTTATAAAATATAATTCACTGTTACACATAAGAATTAACCAACAATAAATTAAATCATTTATTTAAAATCATGTCCACCTCTACCGACTACAGCAGTAAAATTCTACTTACACAAATAATAATCACTAATAATAATTTTCTGTATTACTTTTGATACCTATATGTAAATTTTGTTGATAATACTTTTAAATAACATTTTCACTGCTGGACTTTTACATGTAGGATTAAAGTATTTTTACAGCGTGGTGTTGCTACATTTAGGTAAAAGGTCTGAATACTTCCTCCCCTACTGGTTGTGACTGGTGCAGTGCCCGTATCTAACTACTATACTGCCACAGCCGACTGATGGGTAGTTCGAACTACAGCATCATATTTCATGAGTTATGTTTCATATGTAAAACCTTTATCTGCCACAAAGTAGGTAACAACTGTAAATGTGTTGCAGTGGAGAAAAAAAGTAAAATATTTCCATTTGAAAACTATATAGTTGCTCAAAATGAAATATAAATTACATGTGCCTTGAAATTCCCCTCACGTAGAGTACTTAAAGCTAAATCAGCTAATTTAAATTCCAGGCTCATTGGCTTTTTCAGGCAACATCAGCAGCAGCAGCTGCAGTCAAACAGCAGCACACATGGCATGTCTGGTCTTATATTTCATGCCAGACATTCACCAACCCTGACTGAACAGTTCTGAGCCATTAGATGAACAAATGTGATTAAGTAGCATTATTAGTCTGGTACTTATGATTCATCATGGAGAAGTTTTCAGACAGGCACAGACAGGTAAGGCCTATGGGTTTTTGGCTGCCCTTTTACACCTCAGCTGTGTCACTCGTCCCCCTCTCTCACACACACACATACACACACACCCCATTCCTGCACTTCATCCTACCAGTGCAGCCTTGCTTACAGGTGTTCAGCCTGGCGTGTGTCCATAAGCACCCCTATCCGTTTCATGCTTCACTTGCAAACAAATATTTTAATGGACAGGGGACGAGTGACATGGCTTAATTTCTGACATTGCTCATTATGTGCTTACATTGCTGGGAAAACTGTTACTATGATGGAGAAGGAAAATATGATTGTGTGTGTATGTGTGTGTGTAGAATAGAGACCGTACATGCGCCAGTGTTTTCTTTGATGTGAAAGTGTAAACCATGTGTTATGTTCAGAGTGCAAAGTGCAGAACTCACCTGTTTGTAATAAGACCGAGCTCCAGTCCAGAAATGGCATTCCTCTGCATTCCACGGATTCTGCTTCACCAGGGGGCTGGATAAATGTGTGCGCGTGCACACGCTCACACAAACAATCCCTTTCCTCTCCTCTCCTAGCAGGCCCATGCAACCACACATAAGTGATCAATCACACTCAAAACAATCTCGGCGGACAGACATACAGCCAATGAATACACAAGACGTAAGAGATTCCTCCTGATATGAAGACGTGTGCTTTTCCAACTCCCTGTGACGAAAAGAGTCACGGTCACGGCGAAGATTCTTGTCCAACTCACGCAACAGGGCCACGATGCATGAAATACTGTGCAAATGCTTGGTCTAGCATGAGTGAAGATCAGACTGTGTTACTTCCCTGTCTGCAGAGAGGAATCTACCCATTCATGGTATTGAGAGAAACCCACATCTATAAATAGGTTGACACCATCTACATGACAAATGAATGCAAACATGAGTTTCTTTCTTTTAAAGTCTCTTTTAACACCAGCATTAGTCTTCCACAAACTGTATTTTCTTTATTCCATCATTCTGTGCAACTTTTCTTCCTCCCACTCTCTAACAGGGCTGCAGATGCTGAACCTGGCCCTCATTCCAAAACAGCAGGAGCTCGAGTCTCCCAGCTCATTAACACACAAAATTACCTCCCACCCCCAAACCACATTTTATTCTCCTCAAACATGCACACAGAAAAACAGAGAGAGAAATAGAGTTTTCCATATATCACTTTATTAAATATACATCGACTGCCCTTTGATAAACACAATGTGGGCATGGTTCAACATTAGTGCCGGGACAGAAATGAGCATCAAAATAACAAGGACAACACAAAGACAGATGAGAAACGTCTCCTCATCTTCAGTCCTTCACTATTGGTCCTGTAAATGAACACACACAGAAACCAGGATGTGTTAGTGTGTCACAAACCTCTGACAAACAATACATCTTATACATCTTACCCCTCCGTACTCACCTTAACCACGCGGCCATGAATCAGGTATGGTGACCTGAAGTCATGCTGGCAGTTGGCATATCCCATGCCGAGTCCCAAACCTGAACCAAATGAGACAGGCCATGTGCGACCTGGGGGGAAAAAAACAGTCAAATATATGATTAGCAAAAAAAACACCCCCCAAAAAATCTAACATTTACCTTAAGAAAGTGGACTTACGTTTAAAGAACAGGACAGAGAACATAATGCCCACACCAAGGCCAGTTACTGCAAAGAGGAAGAAAAAAAAAAAAAGAGTGACGTGATTAAACTCCACATTCAAATAATTTGACTCAAGCACTGAGGTAATGTGATCGTGTCTGATCCAGTGTAAAAACTGGCTGGCATAGATGTAAATCTGTTGTAATGAGGTCAGTGGGGTGCCGCTATTAGGGTTTGATGCAAGAGTTGGTAAACGGCACAAGTTAGCAAGACATTGCTCATTAAGAAAAGAAAGGGAGAGGAAAAGCAGCAAGAGCACAAACTTCCAAGAAACAAAGAAAAACAGTAAAAAGGGGTGCAAGAGAGGGGGAAATGAGTTCGAAAGGGAGAAATGACAGTGTCCATGAGACAGAGGGCAGGAGAGGTAATAGGTCAAAGAGTGCACACACATCAGGTAAGGCTCAGACCAGCGTAGGATCTTGGAGGAGGAATGTGTTTGTGCGCTTAACTTCACCTCGCTGCAGGCCACACCACACCCAACAGCAGGCCAGCCAGCACAGAAAACACATAAAAACAGCCATTTGGGCCCCTCCGACTCTTAATTGGATTCAGGGAGCTATGCAGCATGACCGATTTGCCTGAACCAGAACCCTCAGACTGTTCTCTATTACACAACTTACAAATGTCAAACAAGACCACAAAAGATCTCATATACACTCATTATCAGCACAGAACAACAACAAATCATTGTCCTCTGCATCCATCCATCCCTTTCGAGCACAGATTCAGTTAAAATTTAAGGTTCTCCGTCTGTTGCAGCCTCAATCTTTCTTTTCTCTTCGGCCAGAATATTTCTGAAGCCTCTGATTTTCCACTGACAGTAATACAGTAAAAGCATTGGCAAAATATGAGGGCAGATCAACATCTCATTTTGGCATCCTTTCTCTTTGTCTGGACATCTCCAAGGGGGATGGATTATAACAAAAACATTTGTGCTGGAGTAGAATGAAATGTATAACCCACAGGCCAGAAAGTACGCAGTAAAATTTTGCCAGAAAACAAAGTCCAGAGCTGGTAATTGTATTGTTATTCATTTGTTCATAATTTCAAGTATTTTCTGGAAATGGCATCAATAAAGACATTCATTTTCAATCAAAGTCATTTTTTGAATTTAGTTAAAAATATAACTTGAGTGGTATAACTCTGGCACATGTCTTTTGCTCAACATTGCAACTGTAAAATGAATGTGACAGCACATTTCTTTGTAGAACTAATGAGGTTTCTGTGTGTTGGAGGGGATGATGTTTACGAATGAAAGATATAATCTTACCTAACATGACTAGGTGACTTATTACTGTGAAGTAAAGTAAATTATTTTCTTTTAATTGCGCAGCACTCCTTACAGCTGTTTTTATTTCAAGTTTTTGAGCCATGTTGGCTGCATCTAGAGATAAATAGAGATGTGAAAGCACATAGATCTTGTAGGAAAAAAAAAATTCTCAGAAGTGTGCCAGTGAACTGAAGACTATTAGGAAAGAATACCAAAGACATAATTCATTCATAGAAGAATTTGTCTTTTTTGAGTCCTAGTTCGACCAGTGTGTAGAATTTAGTGTCATCTAGTGGCGTAGTTTCAGACTGCAACTCCCTCGCTTCACCATGCACTTCCAAGCAGAAAAGAGAAATTATGGTTGTTGTGAAACACTGAATGGTCCTATCTAGAGCAGTGTTTGATTTGTCCCTTCTTATTTTCAGGTGTTTATACACTAATAGAAACATTAATCTGAATATTACATTCAATTTCTACCAATAAATCCTCATAAATGTTTCACACTGGACATTCAAAAGATAACTTTGGAGTCATACTGCTTCTGTTGCACTCAATACCTCAAATATCAAAAGGTCTGTTCACAGAATAACAGATCTGAGCGTTTTATTTACATGCAGCCATTTTTAACAACAGTATGACTGACATGGTTATTAACAAACAGAAAAATGAGACGGTAGTGAAAATGACTGGCCTGTCTAATTCCAATATTGTTTAGTTCCTCAAATCAAATATTATTAATAATCACTGTAGTTTCCTGTTATGAAGAGGATATTGTGGATTGTCTCCTTCCCTATCATAAATGCATAACAGACTTTTCTTTCCATTTACAATAAGAGGCTGGATCTGACCTCTATCTTGGTCTATTCACTTTAATCATTTGGCAGTTTATAATAACCCTCTTCCTTTGTCTGTTTTGATATCCAGAAATAATCTGAACCCTGTGGCACTTCATATAAAATATAGTGTCGAGGCATTAAAGGACGCCGACTTTTTATGTGGTTATTTCGGTTATAGGAATTATAAAATTGTCTCAAAATGAATCATTCATTATATTGTAACACACTTACAAATGCTACGCAAAATAAGCAAAATGTCATCTTCCTGAATGATCATAGAAAGTTCGAACTAACAAAAAAAGAAACTTTTGAACAACCCCCCGAGCAGAACATATGCTGCAGAGTTTCTCTGGCTACTAGAGACACCTTGGCACAGCTGGCAGTTTGCTGCACCAAGCGAGCTCAAAGAAATGCCACAATGCAGATGTTTTTCCTCCCAGCAAGAAACATATTTTATTGTGCTGAAGTTGACGTCATTAAATGTCTTTTGGGACAGATTGTTTTCCAGTCTAAGCATTTGAGTGCATTTGAACAGTGTTCAAATACCACAGATAAACTCCTGCATAAAGACACCACTGTGATATTCTCCACACTGTAACGCAGTGTTTTTTCATCAGCAGCTTCAGTCAAGTACAGAGCCGATGGATGGAACCAAAACATCTATTAGTTTTAATATTATGGTCTGAATATACCTATTTATGTTGTTAATCAATAGATGGATTTAAATTCAAATGTCTGTTGTGAACTGTTGAGTACCTTTTGATTGTCCATTTACTATAACATTGAAATTAAAGTAAATGTTATATTCATTGCTGTTTTCATTGCTGGTGACAGTAGGAACAGAAGAGAGTAAAACTGCTCAGTTTGTTCTCTTTCTTTCTCTTCCTGCTGATAATGAGCAAATTTAGCAAAAATATAATTTTAAATGCAGACTTTATTTGTTAATCAGGTTTTTTTAATTAAAATGTTCATTTCATTTGTTTCTACTTTCCAGTTGTTTCCTGAACTGCCGGAGCAACAGACAGACGATAAAACTGGAAAGGACTCAAAAATCATAACGTTGTATGCCAAACAAAAACGGAAAACTTTAACAAACAGGAACACTGTTCACGAGCAGACCATCGCCAACACTGGCCTAAAGAATCTTACTTAAACCTATTTGCTACAGGACACTATCACGCTGCACAGCTGATGTTATTATTCTATTATTATTATTTATATTTATGAGACAGGATTCAATCACCATGTTATGCTCAGTCTGACAGACAACAGAAATAGAACAATATGTAAATGGCCACATATGTGACTTTAGGCGTTTTAGTGTTTTTTTTCTAACCCAGCTTAGTGTGGATGTGGTGTGAGTTGAATCTGAACCTCTGACAGTCTCAATAAAACAGGTGCTTCTGTTATTTTGTACCCTGCATGTTTTTATTTTTTTATTTTACCAGCCTTTTGGAGATATGCTTTACCTTTAAGGGCTAGATTTTGAACTGAATTATGACCCCCAGAGTAGGACCATATATTATTTGGTGGTATTTAACTGTAAAATAATGATTTAAGTTGTGGGTGATGGAGAGAGAGAGAGAGAGAGAGAGAGAGAGAAAAATGAGACGTTCTGGGAATCAGGAAAATTGAGCTAAAAATGAACAGAATGATCCTTTACGGCTGTAACACACCCTCCATATTCTGACTTTATTGAACAGTGTGTTAATCAAACACACTCTTACTAGTATAAAAAAAGACCATGTAGTCTTCTTTAATCACAATGCCACCTCAAATAAAAACACCGCTAACGTTAATGTTAGTTTCATCCATTCAGTTCACAGTTGACCTCAGTAGACTGTCCAAGCATGGTCCCACTAATGTCCCGAACAAAAGGACAAAGACTGCAGCCTGGACCCGTGGCGAGGCTCGTTTACCAGGTGTAATATACTGCACATTGTCTACTGACACCGTTCAATAATTATATGGCATGTACGAAGAGATATTAACCTGTTTTCACGGCTGTATCAGCAAGACAGCGGTCCCATTTCCGTCCGTGTTCATCCGCCATGTTTTCAGCTGTCAGGAAGATCCGCAAAATATCGCGAGAGTGAGATGAAGTCACTTGAACTCACCAGACTGCCTCCTTCTTCCTTCACAGTGTTAATCTTTCTGCTATATACTGTTCATTTAGACAATAATAACTCTGAGTTTTTTAATCAACGTAAAAAACAACAACAAAAAAACGAGTGAAAAACACTTTTGATATCTTATTCATTAAATCAAACAATAGGGTAGGAATAGTGAGGACATACAGTTTAACCTGCATATTCACACTTCATATTTCTCAATTTATGATTATTTCTCACTGTGAAAATATTTAAAGTTTATTTATACCTAATTTCATAACTTTATCGCTGTCATTTTAGTCTGTTATTCATAAATCTGACTGTATGTGATAAAAGTTCTTCTGTACATTACAACTTCTTCTTCATTGCCCATACAGTGAATGCACAAGAAATTATGCATGTATGGAAAACTATCACTTCCCATTTAATTCTAATGCTAGGATATCTACCACTGGATTAAATATCTTTCTTATATGTTTTGGCTGTGATATAATCTTAATGTGGCATATTTCTACTAATAAAAAACATGTAGTTTTTCAAAAGCACTTGATTCGTTCATACTAACATGAAGACTAGTTGCTGAAAGCCAAAGTGCTGCTTCCCACACACAGTCAATAATATACAGATGTTGGTGAGGTTTACAAGCAGGTTTCCCATTTACAAACAATCCAGGATGCAAGCATTGCTTCAGGGCAGAAAGTATATTTGTACAATGTCATGACAGCTTTGATATGGAGATGTTGAGAAATAAATTTGAAATATTTATAAATAATTAAAAATAAATAAATACACAGAACTAAACATGCTCAGACACAATAATTAACCCCTTAGTAATAGCAGCTACAGTCAAAGTAAAAACATTAACCCAAACTATTAGAAGTGGAGAGAAATTAACTCCGCTTGAAATGTTCAACATTGAAAACATTACTTCTGGTTATTCCCTGAAAATCAGCAAACCAAAACAAGTAACTTAAAGGTCTGTTAACATTTAATATGATCTATTGGCAGAAGTGTAATATAATATTTATGTTTTTACTGAAAATTGGAATCGTTATGTTTTTAAAGGGGAGGGTGAGGTGAGCTGGTTGCAATCTGCAATCTCACTTCAAGCATGTGTGACAGAGTTGTGTGTTATAAGTGTGAGCAGCGGTACAAGACATCCTTTACATTACAGGGACTGATTTCATTCAGCATTAAAGCTGGGATATGCAGTTTGAACATACACAAAGCAAACCGTCTGCCTCTCTCTCTGCTGCCTTGTATCACTCTGGTAAACTCTTCTCACCAAACTCACAAGTTTGAGCCGCAGCAGAAGGAGTCGGCTGCCCTGGAAAAACCTCATGACTCGTAGGGTTTGCTCTCTGCTCTTCAAAAACGTCCCACCAGCCCTCTCTGCCCCACAGCAGTGCCCCCAGGCTTCAGAGGCAGCTGCGATGCCATCTAAAAGTGGGGATGAGAGGATGGTGCAGACACCCTCTTCAGCTGTCTCAGAAACACTCTGAGCACTGACCTCTGAAGCAAACTGTGATTTGTGATTTTGTAGCAATAAAAATAAAATTGGACATTTCTTACAGGTTGCAGTATTTTATAGGAACTCTCTGAAATGAGCTGTGATTGGCCAAAGTCTCCCGTCGGGCAAAATTTTCTAAAGCCTGAAAACAGAGCTAAAAGGGGTGAGTTGAGTTTTCACTCTGACCACTTGAATTACAATAATAACCTTAATGCTGAAAGATTCTAATATTTTTTTCCCAATGATGCCTAAATAAAAACCTGCCTACCCCAGCTTTAATGAAGCACCAGTCACCACAGGTGTCGCCAAATCCACCAAAACACCTCATTTACAATAAATGATCATCAATAAACATAACTATAACTTATAAAACATTAACTGCATCATTGAACATATTTGCTTCATTCTTGCATCACTAGAATGTAAATAAAGGAACATTTATATTCAATTTAACTGAACAAAAAACAATGAAATATACCTAAGCTCAGAATAAAATCACCAACAATGCCAGTATTGCCGTGAACACGTCTCCCTTTGTGCCGGATGACATTACTGATTAGGGATTAGGCCACAAGTGAAACATTGTTTGTTTCACGTGTGTAAAAAATATTTGTAAAATAATAGTGACCCGGTATCATTTATAAGTGAATAGCCACTATATTTTTTACATTGAGATTTTCTGAATTATTCTTTTATTAAAATAGTTTGTAGGTTAAAAAATAATTAATATTTAATAAATAATGTTAATTACACTTCCCACAGAAGATGTGTGTATAAAAAACGGATGTAGACAGAAATAAATGAAGAAAATGATAAATATTAAACATCGAAATAAAACAAATAACCAATTTAAAGTTGCTTAATCTCTGACATTATAAAACAGGTTAATGAAAGCGAGCAGAAGGCGCTGCAAATCCCAGTGTATTTGTCTATCTGCTGCCCTCTCTCACTGCATACTTGCTGCACCACTCCTCTCTTTCCATACTTGGCAATGCCTTTCTCGCTCCCTCGCTATTGGCTGCCGCAGAGAGAGCCCGGAGTGACCCGGACATGCTACCGGGGCCTGTTCTCTGACTGCAGCCTCCTTCCTGTACCCGGTTGAGGAAGTGAATTTCGCTGACAGGGCTGGGTTCAGTGAGGGAGAGGCGAGCAAAACATCTTAACTACGAAAAAACAAAGACAACAAGAGACGAGAGAGAGGAGCGACTTGTCCAAACGCAGGTGTACACTCATTGGTGAAATCGTGCCCGCCCGCCCCGCTGAGACCGCCGCAGACATGGTAAGGGCCGCGGTGGAGCTGCTGGGGGAGAGATGGGGGAGAGAAGGGAGACGGAGGTTTTTGGTGAGGCTGCTGCTAACTAAGCGTTCACGGCTAGGCTAGTGCTAACGTTAGCAGGAGGGGGCTCGCTGGGTGGAAACCTGAGACCACCAGCAGCAGCAGCAGCAGGGGATCCTAGTGTTTAAACCACCGATGCAATATCTCACTTTCACTGTTTGCAACAATAAAAACAACTTATCGTACCGGATACAAATGAATTAGCTTCGTGTGCTGAGCTAGCAGCTGATTCCCTCCAGCTAGTCGGCTAGCTGTGAGCTAAGCTACATGCCCCGTAGGCATAAAGTTAAGCACAGGATGTTTTGGATTTGACACAAGTTCGTGAATAGTATTACTGAGGAGTCCTAATATAACATTACACACACACACACACACACACACACCTCCAGTCGTGCACTACACACGCACACACTGGCTAAAATAGTCAAGCGCCGGGTTGCCTGTAGCTAAAATAAGAATATGCTCCTCCTATTCCTAACCAAGACAAACTGTCAAACTCCTCTGCTAAAGTTATTTTTTCCCGAGTTTGATCATGACTTTTATGTTTTCTCTGGGAACTCTTAAGCTCTGACAACCCCTACAAATCCTACCAGCAATTATTGATTATTTATGACTTCATTTTGAACCTTTTCACACCTCTTTAGCTTTATATGGCAGTAATATCACTGTAATTTATCATGTATTTATGTTTGATGTAATCTTAATGTCTTTACTTAAATTATCCGAGCACCTTCGAGCTCCATCATGTGCTTTCACAGTTTATAAAAGTTGGGGTTTTTTTTGCAGTACTTCCACATTAAGCCAAATTGTCTTATATGCCTGAGTTGGGAAGAGCAGCTGGTTTTTCTCCACTGTCGCCCACTCTCCTCGGCCTCACCTCATCCATCCCGCTGGCTCAGCCCTCGCTGCTCTCCCCTGACCCCGGGGGTTGTTGGTCTGAGCTAGTGTTTACACGGAGACAGGAGCACTGGTAAACACAACGTCAAGGAGCGCAGGTGTCTGATGGAGCGGACTGATTCATCAGCTGAGAGAGATTTTTAAAAACAGGCAGAAAGCAGCTCGGAGGAGGAGAAATGGCATGGGAGACATTGCCTTGAAACTCCTGTTATGTTCAGGGTCACCCTTAAAGAAAATGTTTATGGAAAGAGGATTCTCTGCTTTATAACATTTGACCGGCTAACAGCTGTATAATGAGTATGCCCAGTTAGGTTTATGCACTTAAGAAGCGTTACTTCATAGATAAGCCAAGGCGGACGCGCTTGTCGTCATCTAAAAGGGAGGTGAATTAAATAGGTAAAACAAACCTATAATGTGGCAGTGTAAAAAACTATTGCTAAGACATGGTGGCTGGTGATTTTGATATAGATGTGAGGAAAATATTTCCGATGTAAATGCACCGCTGGGACAAACATTGCAAGTTTTTTATATTTCTTCATTCTTCATAAGCATATTTCTGTTTGTTTGTAGTGGCAGACATTAGTGCACTTATGATGTCCAGGTAGATTTTGTATCTCCAGTAGTTACAGTGAATGTTAGTTGGTCTAGGTTTGTAAAAGCAGTTTTATAACACTCATTTTAAGGTCAATTCAGACACTGATGTTTGTAATTACCACGGTGAAATATGTTTAGACTGATATCTCTGTAGGGCCTAGGCTTTGATGGCACTGTCTGATAATGCCCAGATGAAAATGATTGTGGCATAGCCATTTGTCTGCTAGGGTCAGCTAAGAAACAGGTTTGGTCTTTACACATACTCACATCTTCCCACACATTCCCCAGAGTTTCATGTTGTGGCTGGTCTGTCCTCCCTTACTTACTAATATCCTGCTGCTCACTGCATATTTAAGGGGGAGAAACCCCTTGGGGGAGGCTATGCTATGCAGTCCTGCCTGTTCTGTGTTTTCTACAGCTGCCATTATGAATAAGTTCTTCATTTAGTCTTAATTAACTTGCCTGCTTAAAGAATGTTAACACATTGCATGCATCCTAAAAGTAAACAAAACAAAGAGACTACCACAGTGAAATGATTTTCTTTTAATGTCTGTGTTTCTGACCTATTGGATACAACATACAGGAATGTTCACGAGTTAAGTCTGGCCTGCTGCTTCACAAACTGTAATTTAT